TGTTCTGAGATTGATGCTTTATCAACTGACCTACCAGAGCTCACTTCCCAAGCTGACAACTTCCCATTATGTTGAGCACACTATTCTCTAAAATATTTTACTTAAATATTATAACCCAATTAGAAATAGGGTTGAATTAAACCTAAATTAATTTTTCACAACCAAAGATGACTTTTGTGGATTTTTATTCAAATACTTTTACATGCTTTTAATCATGCAATTGGAAACTTTTGATAAAGAAGAAATTTATGAGCATGTGACTTATGTTAACTTGCTTTATATATTATAAACTTAAGTTGTTGTTTAATACATATGTATAGAGATGATTGTAATATGATATAAATAAAATTGCTTTACATATAAATGTTAAGAAAGTACAGTATTTGTGGTACCAGCAATAATTTTTTCTCCAGTTGGAAATTTTAACATAACATATGGTCAACAAAGGACCATTGGATCTTTCAAGGCTGTCCTTGCACATCCACCCATGAGAAATTTTCAGTTAATATCAATAAAAACAAACTATCTTCCTACTAAGTAAATAATTTTTTTTTCGAATGTTCAGTACATAGTTGAGATATATTCTAATTTTATGTTTTTATACAGAGAGAGAAAAGAAACAGTATACTGCACAAAACTGTAAAGGTCATGGTTGATTTCAGTAATTCAAAGCTTTACTTTACAGGATGTGGAAACTCAACATTTCTTGCACTTGTTGAACTGCTGGACATATATGGAGACAGACTCTACACTCTGAGAATTTTGTTGATTCATGCTGGTGGACTTAGTCAACGACTTCCTAGTTTATCCATCTTAGGCAAACTATTTTCTCCCATTCCAACAGGCCATTCCTTGTTTCAGATGTTGGACCTAAAGCTTGCTATGTACATGCCATTTCTTAGAAAGATGCAATCTGGTGTATTTGTCACATGCTCTGATGATATCATTACGTATAATCTAGGGGAAGGTAGGAAGCAATTTACATACCACCTTTTTATATTGCAAAACCACAAAAACTATAGTTACAGAATTGAGGAAAAACAAGACAATTGTAAGTTTCACAAATACATCATTTATTCATGATCATGGTCTCGCCAATAAAGGCATCATCAGGTACTATGATCCTGAATATATGATGTATTTGTGAAAGTACAGTTGTCTTGTTTTCCTCAATTCTGTAATTATGGAGTTTCACCAAGTATCGACAATTTCAAGTATCAGTTATTTAAAACCATAGTTATAAAATATTCATGCAGGATAATTATAAAGTGTAAACATGAATGTTAGTATTATTCCAACATTATTGGCTCATATGTAGGAGTTTATTTCATAAGGACAAATATGTACCTGTACCTTTGTTACCTAATCAGTCCAAAAGCTAATTTATGTGTTCCTTTTGTTTACAGAAATGATCAGTGATCCTAACAGTTTTTGCCTTTAATTTATCATTTTACTATTTGTTTTTTTTTCCAGTTCATATTTGAAAATGTGGCCACATTTGCATTATTCAACAAAATAAGGATTTGTGGTTTAAGCATATCTTAAGAGAAATAAGGTTTGTACTTAGGAGAATATGAGGTTAATATATTCTAACAGTAAAAGAAGTCAGTATATTGTAGGAAAATAAGAGATCACAATATGCTGAGATAATAGGTTCATTTATTGTAAGAGAAGTCATTATTTTAAGGAGAAAACAAGTTCAGAGATCTTAACATATCCTCGTTTCCATCCCAGGTATCACTCTAGTAGCCTTCTTTGAACCCTTTCCTACAATTCAGTATCCTTCGTAGAGTAAGCAGCTCCAAAATGAACACTCTATACCATATGTAGCCTAACTAGTGACCTATACAATGACATTATAACCTTTTTAGGTTTGTATTCAGTATTTCTGTAGACACAATTAAAATCCCATTTGCCTTACCACTAACAACAGCACACTGCTTGGATGTTTTAAGAGACTGATCAACCAGAACATCAATACCCTTTTCATCCCTAACATTTTTAAGGTTATATCAATCAATATTATACCCATGATTCAAATTATAATAATCTGCATTAATTACGATTAAAATACACCTTCAATTTATTCTTCCAACTCAACAAATAATACACATCTTTTGTAAAGCAGTACCATCCTCTTCACCATCAGCAACACCAAAGATCTTAATATCATTAGCACATTCGGATAGGGTACTTCCCTCCTCTCACAAGATTAAATATTCTCTTCCAGTGCTGCCCTCTATATGCAAATTTTTTTCTTTACACATGCCACAAGCCTTCTGCTCCCCCTATTGAAATCGAATGATTCCAACATGTCTCTCATTTAAATCATCACGAGTCACTTGTCCTCTAATAGGAGCGTGACATACTCACGTGACGCATGTGAATCCCTTTATACACCTATACTAAACTATCACTTCTCCTTTGGCAGCGCTTGTGGTCGGATGTGTTTCTTTTTGTTTGTTTATAGTTTCACGTTCGTCTTCAGTATATTCACGAAGTGGTCTTCATTTATTTTCACTTCTAATTTCTATTAAGACAGTTTCTTAACTTCACTTTAATCCCAGTTTATTACAGTTGGAGTGTTATTTATACTTTCGATTATTGGTTGATTCTTCCTCATTATGAACTCTGAAGTTAATGTTACCATTCAGGGGTCACACCTGCAACTAGCGCTATGTCTCAGTCCTCAGGTGCAGGCGACCTGGCGGGGATTTATCAGCGTTTATTCACCCGAAGATTGAACATTACATGGAACAGCTTCTGTCTCCTGACCTTGCCTCACTTCCTCCCGATCAAGCTGAGCCTGTTCAAATAGATGAGGACTTGGATCGCCTATTTTCACCTTCTGATTTTGCCGTGCCTTCCCATGCCTCGCCTGAGGAGTCAGTTAGGGTTAATATGGTCTTTTTGGATTTCGTTTCTCAGGTCCGTGACGTTTTATCCATTTCCTCTGTTTCCTATGAACCGTGTCCTTCCTTACTACATGACCAATCTTCTCATCCCTATTTGGTCCCCCCCGGATATTGGGGCACATGCTGACCAATCTGCCTTACAATTATGTGATGGTATTAGCATGCCTTTTGGTATGTGGCCCCCGAATCTCCTGTAAGTCTGATCCATTTTCCTGCCTTTGTCTTACTCTCACAACTCTTTTATGGTATTTCTCTACCATCCATCTCCTCTCTGAGGCTCTCCACCAAAATCCTGAAGGGTTTTATGGGAACATCTTCTTCCTTCTTTCCTCCAAGTTGGCTCGTTTGTTGTCTTTGATTCTGGCTTTACGTACGTGGTTTCTCTGTTGTTGGGACCTTCTAGGTCGTGATGCGACCTTAGCTCTTGTCCGTTTACCATCATCTTATCTTTGGGACTTACTGTTGCATCAGTACAACAACAGTCTACCATTTCCCTGCGTCTCCTCTTCCCAACCTTTTTCAGGGTGCATCATCTTGTCATTTTCTTTGATGACGCTCGTCACGTCACCAACACTATCGATGACTACTCAGTGATATGTGTTAGAAATAATGCACAGAATAATTTGGTGACTTAGTTTGTTCCTGAATTCAGCAGCTTGTGTTCTGGAGGCTTGAAAGAGAACACAGACAGATGTGATAGTTGTAATTTTCAGAGGACCTAAATAAATTGAAAGTAGAAAGCATTTTTCAGTTCTTAACCAATACATTAAAAAATTTAGATGTAATTGTTAAAGGTAACAAATGTAATTTGAGAAAAAAGGCAGATTTGTTTGATGTTTTATATTACAACAAACAGCGACACTTACAATGAGGAATAACATTGGCACAATACTAGCGCCATCTGTTGACCCAATTTTCACTACACCAGATAGTTAAAATAGTTGCCAAGGTGGC